GGAAGCGAGCCAACCCTCCACTTAACACACGTTGACTTCAAAATTGCAAAACCTAAACCCTAAATATAAGCCACATGATTCATTCGATTCTATTCACCATTATCCTGTATTAGTAGACAAGTTAAACTAGTACTGGAAACGGAGACGACCCAGGGGGCATATGAATATCAATCCGGCTGGAAGCCGAAGTATTGCCACCTCATGACCCCCCTTGCTCATCAGTTTGAACCACCAACACCCAAAGGCAGATCTTTCGCAAGTAAAGCACGCTCTAGCTAGAGTTGACATCTTCATTGGCACTAGTAATCAAGGCTGGCCTGTGGTTGTTGGAGTGAGTGCCAGTGGTGCTTTCAGTAAGACGTGTTCCTTTCAAGTTCCTCCTCATTTTAGCAGAATCGGCCAAGTCGCAGCATTAGCATTACCACCATGGCCTCCACGGAAGAACTGGACGAGCAAATAGAGGCTGCAGAAGAAGCCGGTGACACCGCCAAGCTATTGGAAATTGTCACCCAATGCACCCCATATGGCACTCGCGAGGACGACGATTGGGCGGATACTACCGAAGCCAGCCTGGATGCTGTATACCGATTGGCCAAGAGTGGCAAAGCTACAAGTGGAATGAGCGTCATTTTTGCGGCTCTGGATGCGTGGAAGGGAAACGAAGCCATTGTGGAAGTCGCCTTGGGATGCATCGTATCCTTATCCAAAAGTTATAGTACAGAGGAGGAGAAAGAAGTAGACGTGGCCTTGTTGTGGTCCATGATGAAGCCATTTCCTGGAGAGTCTACTATTCAAGAACAGGCGTGTCTGGCCATTGAGGGCTTGGCACTGGCATCGGAAAAGTGCAAAGCAGCCTTGTTGAAGGTCGATAATGTCGAATCGTTGTTGGCGGCAGCCAAAGAGAACATTACCAACGAACGCAACAAAGCCTACCCGGGAAGGGCTGCAGAAGCTTTGGGCGTGTCTGTGCCACCATAGCAGGATCCAAATACAATGTACTCAGAACTCAGATACCTCCCTCGGATCCATGGTTGTGCACCCGAAAAGTTTTCAAATAAGGATCAAGTGGCTTCTCTCGTTTTGGAAATGAATAAGGAAGATCATCTTTTGCAAAGCTTGGTACTCAGTATACGGTTAAAACAAACAACAATTAGTTCACTGCGAACTGCACCAAACCGGACCGCCTATTCTAAGCCAACTATTAATACAAGTATATGTACATGTAGCTATTGCTGGTCCTCCTCGAGCTTGCTAAGCCGAAGAGGAAGATCCATACGTCGCAAAAGGGAAATGTACTCCAGTCCTCATCCACAGGGTCAATCGACACAAGAAGAGTCGTGTCGAGTCAGGCTAGACAGATAGAAACCGACGCTTCTTTTCAGAGGCAAATTGTCGTCTCCAAATAAAATGGGAGGGTTAACCAATGTCATTCCATCAACAAAAGAATATATGTAGACTGCTAGACACTTGTGGCATTTGTGATGACGCGTCTAGCGAGATGCTTTGGTAACAAGATTGAGATCGGAAAAGCTGCCTGAAAGGTGAACGGTACTCAATGGCAGTCCGCCATTGATCGATTGACGGTCGCATTCAAGCTACTGCAGTACAAGCTAGTAGCAGAGTACGTTTTCAAAAAATTAGAAACCTTGTCTGTTGTTTTGGGGTTTCACTGTGGTGTCTATTGGAGACTTTGTCGGCGCCAACGTCGTCATCGTTTTCATTTGGCGTCTTCTATGCTTTCCATTGTCATCATCACTCCAGGACGCAACACCCCTGGCATTTCTGTCAGTGGCAACAGCCATCACGTACGCGGTGCTCGCTTTAAGAAGATCTTCAGACAGTCTCGAACGCCTACCGTAGGGTACCGGTACGGACCTCCATGGACGCATACTACATTGCGGAAGGTCTTGTTGGATCTATGGGCGGTCCAAGAGGTCTGGAACAACACTGCCGTGGTAAGGAGTGTCGTGTGTGCCATCAGCTGGCCACAACTTGTCCCAACGTAGAGGCAGCTAATAGTTGCTCTACCGTACTAGTAGTACGGATGGATGTATGTGTCGCCAAAATGGAGTAGTCTAACTTCTGCTGCAAGAGCAAAACGAAATGGGCGGGACATCCAACAATCTGAGAGCACCAGCTAAACTTACCTCAAGTTTCAAACAACCAAGATTCTGTTTCTCCTATGTTTTAATTGTTATATACTGTATGGAAGGATGATACAAGAAGTTTCACAACATTGATAGGCCAGAATTGCGGCAGTCAATAGATACATGTATGTATGCATACATGTACCGTCCTCTGGATAGCAAAACACCTACCACCGGTACTGTACCGGTAGCGGTAATTGACCCCGCAACCACGCCAAGCCAAAGATCGTGGTGTAGATGAAGATTTGGAGGACGTCAGCAGTATCTTTTTAAAATAAGATTGACAGAGTTCGCAACATCACATCCTATTCTTCGCTTCAGGGCTAAGCGAAGAAGCACACTTCTTTTAGATGCAGCAACAGATGCTCTTGCCCTACTAGCTAGCCCATGACATTGTGTTTCGATCTAAAGAATGTTTTCCTTTGGAGGTAGCAGCAAGAAGTCAAAAGAATCAAAGATGGCGGAGGTGAGTCCTTGAAATCAATAGTAGATAGCTAGCTAGAGTTAGCGAGATGTATCACGATGTCTTATCCTGATTTGTGTTCTTTGGATCTCTACTACACCGTAGGACAACAAAGCCGAAAGCACTAGCAACAGCAACAATAGTCAACTGACGGATGAAGCGAAACAGGAACTTCTCGAACAGCGTCAACGCCAAAGTCTCTTGAAAGAACGACAAGATGAGTTGGATCAACAATTGATTTTGCTGGAAGCCCAGCTGCGAGCGGCTCGGGAACAGATCCATCACGAAAAGGCCGGAAAACGCAAAATCTTTCATTCCTTGGTCAAAGTAGCAAACGAACTCAAAAAGACACGACAAGAAAGCGGACCCATTATGGAAGCCAACGAGTATGCCAATCAACCCTGGTATCAAGGAGGCATTTGGCGCAATCAGGTACAAGTGCTTCCTGGAGTGGCAGCGACACGACAATCACATCAACAACGAGGCGGGCAAGCCGTCAGTCTCTCTGATCTCTTTTTAGATTTGGTCATTGTCACGGCATTCACGCGAGTGGGACAGGCCATTTCCAGCAATCAAACCATCAATTTGGCGTCGGTACTCTACTTTGCCGTGTTTTGGACCATATGGTCCAAAGAAGCCAGTTATTCCTCACGCTTTGATACCAGCGATTTGAGTGCCAAAGTGTCCACATTGGTCACCTGCTTTGCCGTACTCTTTGGATCTCTCTCCGCCAGTGCACCCCTCGATGCCACGGGAGCCACGCGCATCATGATGGTCGGTGCCTTTTGTGCCATTTTGAATTGTCTACTCCATGTTCGCATTGCCGTTTTCTTTGGGGAAGCGGCTCCCGTCGAGAATATCATGATGGGCTCCGCCGAACCCAAATCACGTCAAAGCGTCGCGCGAGTGACGGAAACACGACAACACGTTCGATCCTATGCCATTTTCAATATTGCCATGACGCTGATGGAAGCCATTGTGTGGATCATTGGAGTACTCGTCGTACCCGAGACATCACCGCTGCGATGGTTGATCTTTGCGGCGGGCATCATCTTGGCCATGAGAGTGCCAAGAGCCTTTCTCGCCAATGATTTTCATGGTACGTTCGTTCCACTAACTCATGAACCAATGTTCTTTTGGGGAGAGATTTTGCACGCCTCACATTTGACTCCTTGTTGATTTGCTATAGCCGCCCGATCCAAACGAGGCGTCCTCTTTATTCTGCTTCTCGGATTCTTGATGCAGAGCGTCATTGTGGTCGCCAGCGAATTCTTCCAATACGATTCCCCCACCGGACCCGACTACACATTCATCGGGGCATCTTGCTTGATTCTATTCTGCATCAAACTACTCTACGTCGAAGACTCCAATACTTCCAATTCCCAAGATCATGCACTCCTCGTCAATCGGACCGCCGCCTTTTTGTTCAATCTCGGACACTTTTGTTTGCTCTTCAGTACCACCGTCATGGGATCGGGGCTCAATTTGGTCACACACGAGTACCTGGCTGCCGCGGCGGCATTGCCAGGGCCATCCAAGCAAATGGTCATGGGTGGATTCAGTGCCGTCGTATTGAGCAATTACTTTATCAAGTCGATGCATGTCAAACGAGTTCCATCCTACGACAATATCACGCATCGACGCATGTTTATCATGGCATACGTGGCGGAACTCATCGTCACGTTGGTCATTGTCATTGTGACGGCCATGGTGTGTTCTGGTACGGGTGGTGGATATTTGCAAACCCTGTCGGAAAATGATTTGGAATTGTTGTTTTTGTTGAGTGGATTGGCATTGTTCTTGGTATTGATTAGTTGGTTGGATCAAGGAGTGGAGTTGACTTTGTACGATTCTGCGGAAGATTCGCAGGAGTACTTGATCCAACCCTTTGGTTTGTGGTCGTTTTGTCTGGAATCGGAAGTCACCGACGAAGCTATGTTGGAGGATCTGGTGGCCGATGACATGACGCTGTCACGACGACTCTCCGCCGTGTCACCCCTCTTGGGCAGCAGCAGTGCAGCGTTTTTGAAGCAAGAGTTGAAGAATACAGAGGGGTATGGATCCATGGCGGGCATTTCGGAAGAGCAAGTCTAAAGGAACAACTCGCTTGGACAGAGTAGAGAAAACGTACAATATACAAGAGAACATATATATGCACATGAGAGAGAGATCTTTTACTTTTTAACTGATTGATAAACTAATTGGGATGCATTTTTCTTCGAGATTCGATTCGATTCCTGACTAGAATTTATTTCTAAAGACCAGCAGAAGCGGTGCATGCGATGCAGCATCACTTCATCGCATCACGAGCCAAGCCAGATGTCTGATTTCTTTTGTTTTATGTTCATTTCGAGTCATCAAACAGCTCGTCCAAGCCAACACACAATCCAACTAAATACTGGCTACCTCAATACTTTTCTCGGAAGTGTCGTACCCAGTCATCAATCGCCTGATGCAAAGCATCTCGCAGGCCACTACGGTGCACAAAGCGATCGACAACGGGTCGTAGCGATTGTTCTTCAATGGCGGTGATTTCAAAATTGGTGACATCGTATCCTTCCCCTAGCTCACAGGTTCCATCAATATCGGGAAAGTTGAGCTTGCCCTTGACAGCATCGATATTCCCATCGGGCAAATCCAGAGTCCATTCCACTCCCGTGACGGCAAATTCGTAAATGTACTTTTTCTTGGATCGTACCGTGGCAAAACTGGCATGTCCGTCAATTTTCTTGACGCTTTCAATCCGCGCAATTGCACCCGGTGCCGGAGACGACGCTGGAAAGGTGTACGTGGCCTTGAGTAGAAATTGTTGCAGGGATTCCTTGGCCCATCCCGTAACATCTCGTTCTTCCCACGTTCCTGCATGATTCCACGAGGACTTGTCTCCCGTGGCAGCCGGAGCGGGCGCTGCCGATGCTGGATCGATTTTTTTGGGAGCAATATCCCCAATCAACTGTTTGGCTTCTTCCGAGAGTTCATTGTGAAAGTAGGATGTCTTTTTGCCATTGACAATTTTGTATCCTCGCACTTGATCGGATTTGGAAAAGAGATTCTTGTCGTCTTCGTCCACAGCCATTGGTGTCGTTGTACTACTAGTACTACCAGTTGGCTTGCTAGTAGTGGCAGTTGTTGCAGTTGCAGTTGTATTTGGTTTTGCGGTGTTTGGCTTGGGTTTGTAAATTTCGGATCGAGGAGGAGCTGGTTCTGTCTTTGGCCCATTTTCTTTTTCATCTTCTTCCATTTTGTTTGCCGCATTGGCAGCTTCTTCTCGTAGTTTGTTGAGTTCTTTGGTGAGTGCCTTGTTGTTGGGGTCCAAGAGCATTGCCTTTTCCATCGCTTCTACGGCTCCTTCAAAGTCTTTCAAACTCGACATGGCTTGTCCCAATCGCCACCATCCTTTTACGTACGTACGATCCACTTCTGTCGCTTGTTGAGCCGACGTCTTGGCCTCTTTGAATTTTCCCATTTTGGCCAAGACCAACGACAAGTTGGAATGCAAAATGGCACGTTCGTTGGGAGTGGCAGAAGAGTCAAGGGCGTCCACGACTTGGATCGCCTTTTCGTACAGCAGTTGTGCATCGGGCCATGCCTTGCCACCCACTGCCGAGCGACCGCGATTCTTCAATTCTTCCAACAAACCTCGTTGCGAGGATTCCGTGTCGGGAATGGGAGCTCCCAGCACATCGCGGTGAGCCGAGTTTTGAAACATGGGATTGACGTTCATGGTGGTGAATGGATAGAATGGATATGAGTGTTTGAGATCGAAAAGTGTGGCGAAAGGGCTGGCAAAAGTATGCATAAGTGTGATGAGGTCGAAAGGCGAAAGCAAGAGCCAATGCTCGAGTGGTGGAAAGAAGGCCATCGAAATTCTTGAACTTGTGCGGTCGCGCGCAGTGAACCTCAACCTTAAGCAAAGCAATTAACACCAACCTCTGTCAGAAGGGTATTTTCGTATGACGGACAGACGACTCGGGATCCACAATCACGGTTCGTGATTGGGGATGTGTGACTCAAATCAGATGGTTATCCGATCATCATCAGATGGCCAGGAGTACGAGGAACGAGGACAATGGTCGTCTAGATGATGCAACTAACAAAGGTTAGGAAGTTAGGTCGAAGAGATGAATGCAAGGAGCGACGGGATGGAACAAATGAATGGACGGATGAAGGTCCATAGGTTTAGTAAAGGGAAAGCCCTCCAGGGCCAACCATGCACTTCAGGAAGATAGATCGACGAGATCTATCTGTAGATGAAACTGCGAGAAGCAGAGGATCGAAAGATCCTGGTATATGTATGCATATCGGAGCTCAGTTGTAGAGCTCACAATCTGAACGAGAGAGAAAGAGAAACGAAACAGATAGCCAGTCTACTAGACAGTAGAGCTGGAAGGATATTGATTAAATTAGAGAAATTGTGCGTTCAAGTTCACACCTTTTTCAACACGTTTTAAAACGATAGCTATCAGGAAAGAGTGAGCTTGGATCCAGGTTGTCAAACAGAAAAGAGAAGAATTGAGAAGTAAGTAAAGATGTCTACGGAGGTAGAGGTATCATCGTCGAGCAAGTATCCCATCTTCGATGGGAAAGATGAGAAGTTCAGGTTCTACAAGGTCAAGATGATGGCCCATTTATCGAAGTATGGGTACGTAGAACTGATGAAAGACTCTACGGAGATCAAACCGGACAACTGGGAAAACCTACAGGTACGGGCAAGTTGTCGGACGACGAAGTAGAAAAGATCGAAGTCTGCAGAAGAAAAACAGCAAGGCTGCTGGAATACTGCTGGATTCGATCAATGTGGAGACCATCGAAGGGCAAGTCGCCTTCGACCTACTGGCCTCACACCAAACGACTGACCATGCTGCTGGGAAATTCAAGGGCATGTGGGAGTCCATGCTGGACCTCTACGATGCTGAAGACAGTGGTGAGGTAGCAGCTCGACGAACGGAATACTACGCGATAAAGATGGACATCAAGGAAAACCCAAAGAAGTTCGAGATTGGACTCGACGTGAAACGCAAGAAGCTAGCGAAGGATGGGTTCAAGATATCGGACGAAGAGTACATCAAGGACCTTCTCGAGAAGATGCGAAGAAGGAAGGAGAACTCGGAGTGTATCATGAGTGAAGAAGAATGTTCTGGAAGGATCAAGACAAACAGGACATGGAATAACGGTAAAGGTGTGGTGGATGACTTATCGAAATCTACGATGAGATTAAAGCACGGAACAAGTCGACAACCACAATGGCGAAACAGTTTCATGATTGGAGGAAAACAATTCAAGGGCAGATGAAGGAACTGTGGGAAGATCGGACACAAGCAAAAAGACTGCCCAGACAAGAAAGGCTCGAATGGAAGAAGCTACGGACAAAGGTACCAAGGAAAGTCAAACGGTAAATTAGCAGAACAATGGGAGCAGTAGCGGATTTCAAGGAAAGAGAAGTTCAGCGGAAAGTGCTTCCACTGTGGAAAGATTGGCACAGGAAATCGGATTGCTAAAACTCAAAGCGGAAAAAAGAAATGTAGAAGGAGCAAACACAGCACAAGAAACAACTGAAGGATGGCATTCATGACGATGAGCGATGAAATATGCATGCCATGCCGAGGAGTAGAGTTGTCAGACGATGAAACAGGAGGATAGAAGAAGCATCGGAATATGAAGGAAAAGAATGGGACGCGTTCTGGACGATTTTGAAAGCGGAGATGACGTGGATGAAGATGGAGAAAGCTTGGAGCAATTAACTTATGAGGCGATGGACGCCCTTAAATCTCTCCAAGAAGAACAACAACGACTGACTAAAGAAGAATCAGTCACATACAACAAGAACCCAGACGTTACCTATCTGTCCTGCGAAGCAGAGAGCAGGGCAGATTCCGACAGCGAAACACTCCACGATTTAAAGCAAAACGGCTACAACGAAGAAGTTTCTGAGAAGGAGGAGAAACAACGAACGACAAATTCGCCCACAATCTACGAAGACGACAACTACTACAGCTGTTTGAGCGAAGACGACGAAGAAGTAAAAGATGTCGAACAGATTCCAAGATGCCGCGAACCGTGCTAGAGGCACAGCTGTACCGAGGTTGAGTCAACACATGATGAAGATCAGCAAACATCCAATCCATTGACAACCGACATCCCATGAACCGAGCAACCGAAGGATGGGAATTGGACGATTCACACATAGAGTGGTATACAGTGGAGGAGAATCGCGGAAGAAGCATGCCAACTAATCCCCGAAGACATATGGGAAGGGCACTCGAGCCCAGCAGATGAAGCAACTGGTCGGAAACTTCGAACAGTTCAGATGGTTGCTGAGGATGATGCATACGAGATACAGAACAACCCCCATCTCGTGGAGCTCCAGGCGGAAGTGCTAGGTTGGGCCAGCAGTTTGTTGCTCTTCGCGATTGGACTCCACACAACAACAATCGCAGGGGCTATGTTAACGTGCAAGATAAAGCGCGGACAAACGTCGGCGAAGGAACAGGAAACGCAGGAATGTTCGGTTCACGGCATTCAGCATTCCCGAAGTAGAAGTGAACTTATGTAACGGAGATGGTCGCACAGGCTCAATACAATCGGGATTGGAAGGTGCACGTGGATATGCCACTATTGGGAGAAGCGGATTCGCACAACCCATGGCCAGTGATTGTACGGTGGAAGCGCTTGATTCTGGTCAGCGTGCTCGTGAGCAGACAAGCAGAAGCATGGCGCAACGAGGCAATCAAACACCTGCAGAAGGAAGGATTACCCCAGAGTATGATGCTCGGAGAGGAAGATTTTCGAGTGCGAACTCTATCCTACGGAACTATGGTATCCCAAGGGTCGCAGCCGATCGCATTTACCGTGAACAACAACGTCGCAAAGCCAATGGGCGAGCTGCTGACATATGCTTGTTGGGAGTGGACGACACAGTCCAGACGACTGGTAAGCGATCAGAAACGAGCTCATCCCTCAAACTATTCTAGGCGCGAGCCACCGCGAACGAAAGTGGAAGGGCTTTTGATGTTTATGTTGGGTCAGTATACCAAGGACGGACCTGGATGGCAAAAGATCGGGCAAAACTATTGGCAAGTGCGTTTGAACTTTGCAGGAGTGATCACCTACCGATGGTTTACACCAGATTCCACGTTCTACAAGGATTGGACGCATCAACTTTTCAGTACCAACGAGATGGACTGACACCGATCGTGATCGAGAAAC